GCTGTATGAGACCCATCACTTCAAGGGGTAGGACATACTAGTCTTCATGTCACAGGCTTAATTTTTGAAGCCAAGACTTTAATAAGGTTCTAAAAGAAACTGGAAATTTATATGGATATTCAGGCTGTCGTTTCACTTCAGAATTTAAGATAGAAGACTAATCCATTTTTCCCATGGGGGTCATATACAGACTTCTGAAGCACTTGAGCTACTCTCAGCATCAGACACAGGATCAGGGTTCAGTGAACCCTGACTTTGATGCAGTACAGCAATTACATATTTCTAACTCTTCCCTAAGGAATCAAGGTGGCTCACTGTGACCCTTATAGTGAGTCAGACTCACTGGTAGATTATATCCTGGTCTGAAAGCATCCTATAAAATTAATGAGATTACTGCTAGGTAACAAGCAACTTTTTTTAATGTTCAGATTGCCGAACCATGACAGAATGGTCGAGGGACCTGCTCTAAGGAAAAGTAACTCCAGTCATTAGGCTGATCAAAGGCTGTTCTGCAAACACAGAAGTGACTGGGAGAAGAAGAAACAGAAAATTTACTCTTTAACTGTAATAAATGACTATTTCCAGACCTGAAAATTGCATTAAAAGAAAACAAAAATTGCTAGTACATGATACAATGCTATACTTCCACTAACTGTGATTTTCAGTTTGTCGTGCATTTAAAGCTGCACATTTGAAAGTTGACAGTACTCTGTCCTTAAGAAGGAAGAATTTGGAACAGGTGCAGCATTATGGTCTTTAGAATGTTATTATGGAAACATGAATAATGTCATTCGGAAGGGTAGCCATCTGCTTTCTGAATATGTCACTGATGCAGCAGCAGCAATGTGAAAGTGATACACAGGGTTGTTTCTGCAATAGATTTAGCAGAAAGCTTGTGCTTTTTGTGGAGAAAAATATGTTCCATTTTCAGTTTGGTTTTAATAAGCATGTGTAGAGTATGTGTTTTGTAAATATTATAAAGACAACTATAGTATGATGCATTTTGCTTGTGTAATTTGCATCCTATTTTACTGAGTTTTAGCACAACGTTTTGTGCAAGATTAAAAATCAGCATTTTTGTGATTTAGGATTATTTTACTGAGATGTGAGTATTTACAAAATAAAAAATGCTAGAAAGAGAGTAGTTTAAATTTCAAATACTAACTACAGATAACATACTTCTAGAGCATCAGCTGTGATAGGAGTACTAAGTTAACATCCAAGACTTAGGGCAAGTGTCATCTATCAAAGAGGGGAAACGTGAAAGGGAAAGCTAACTTCAAAAAGCAGCAGAGTCTATCAGTTGGAGTCAGCATTTACAGGAGCACTGTGATACCAGATTTATTAACAAGCTTTTTGAAAATGACAGAAATATCACCTCTTAATGTTGTGAATAACAAGTAAATCTGTCTTTACAGGGACAAAATGTGTTCATTATGGCATAAAGAATGAAACCTTCCTAGAAACTGACAGGAAACAAGGAAAACTAACTGCTTAGAGACATGCAGGAGAAAAATAAATTTTAACAAGGTCAGGGCAGAATTCATATCACGCTGCAAACACCACAACAAAAAACTGCAGCCACAGTGCTGGCTGCCAGGGATACAGCAGTCACAACTGCAATAAACGTGTATTTACAACACAGAAACTTTTACAAGTATTTAGTGAGTGATAATGAGGGTCCATTTGTACCAAAACGATTCAAAACTTACATCAAACACAATGTGAAAAAGCACTGAAGTGATGGTAGAGGAAACAAGCCACCTGTAAGTGCAGAAGATAGAAATTAGACCACACAATGCAATTTGGCTTGCTCAGCTGGAGTAGAAACACTTCAGGGAGGAAAACAGTGAAATTAATTTTAAGTGGCTGACGAAGAAAGTGCTCTTCACATAGTCTGACCATAGAGATCAGCTCCCCAAAAGGAGGACTTACCTGTTGTCAGGGGCAATCAGGAAAGGGAATTTGTCACTTGCACTAGCAGGGCTGCGATTACTATAAGAAATACCAAACATACCTTCTGCAGGTAGCTCCTTGTGGGAGCTGTGGTGGCAAAAATACAAATGTAGGTGCCCAGAAGCATGATTCGTCACTCTCCTGCAGCATCCCTGGGGGTACAGGAAGCAGCCACTGGCTATACAGGCACCTGCTTATCTGTTGTGAGGGAAGCGATCAAAACAAGATACGACCAGGGCACTACACGTGTCCTGGGACTTCAGATTGAATGATAGGAAAAAAGATATCTCAGCTACAGGCTCAAAGTGGATGATTTTCACTATATGAAGCAAAGGCAGGGTGGTGCAGGGACTGTGCAGTTAACCAAAACATCACATTGCCTCTGCATGAGGAAGTTCAATTAAGGTTGATAAGAACACAATAATGTGACTTTTCTTTGTTCCATAGCCTTTGGCTGTTCAACTTCAGTAGTCCTTTAATGCAGGGCTTTGTTTGCATAATTTCTTTTGGTTGCATTTCTTTATTTCTGCGGCAGATAAAAATGCCACTGATCTCTAAACTCAGTACTGAAGAATGAGGAGATCAGTCACAATGAAAATTAGACATTGCACTAGTAAATAACTAGATGACAGACAGGAAAACTATTGCTTAGCAGTCTGAAACAGTTAGGCCAGGAAAGGAATCCACTGTGATACTCCTTTGAGTTTCTCTTCACTTGGATGAGAAAAGACTCCAACCAAGAGTGCCTCATAAATTTCACCCATACGTACCAGCATTCCTCTTCTGAACAAAATATTGGATTGAAATTAAGGGTTAGGAACACATTGTTTAAATAGGAATTAGAAATTTGCAGATCTGTTACTAAGATTCACAAATCCTGTCCTTACCAGTATTTTCTTTCTGTAGTTCCATGGCAGTAAGGCATTATTTTTTTGGAGGCTTAGTTATAAAGTGAGAACAATGTATGTGTGAGAGTTCTAAATTGCAGAGGAGTGAACATCTGCAATAGAACTATCACATAGGAGCAAAAACAATCCCATCCACAATAACTGGGGGAACATTTGGGCCAACTGGGACAGCAGTACAAGTCCCATGGGCAAGTAGTGACTGATGTCTGCTTCTGCATGGGCTTCACTAGAAATCATGACTCACAAAATATATAGAAAAACTAATCAACAAGGGTCCTACTTACTGAGATGTGTGGAATGGAATGAAAAAGGCCAAGTAAGTGCAGTATTTTTTTGTGAAGCATAGCTGTGCAGTTCCTTTTTTCCTTTTTCTCTCCCAATTTCTGTGTCATGGGCCATTCAAATGGTCAGTTTAAAGTTTAGCTCATTTTTCAATTCATTTGCATAATATAAATGGATCATGATTCCATTGCACAGAAATTATTCACAGATTTACCAGAAACATGCCCATAAATGTCATGCTGTTTATAGAAATGAAATGGCCGAAGACAGAAGAACAATTGGAGTAAATAAAATCCTAAATAAATCAAACCTATAGTAGATGGATTTACAAGTATATTGGGTTTGCATGGCAAGGTTTTAGTCCAGGGGAACTACAGGTCTAGCTCCTGTGAGAAGCTGCTAGCAGCTTCCCCCACATCCAATAAATCCAATGCTAGCCAGCCCGAAGATGGACCCACCACTGGCCAAGGCCAAGCCCATCAGCAATGGTGGTAGTGCCTCTGGGACAATATATTTAAGAAGTGGTGAAAAATTACTGCACATGAGCAACTGCAGCCAGAGGAAAGAATTACATGTGAGAGGAACAACTCTGCACACACCAAGGTCAGCACAGAAAGGAGGGAGGAGGTGTTGCAGATGCCAGAGCAGAGACTCCGCTGCAGCTCCTGGTGGAGACTACGGTGAGGCAGGCTGTTCCCTGTAGCCCATGGAGGTCCATGGAGGAGCAGATACCCACCTGCAGCCCATGGAGGACCCCACAATGGAGCAGGTGGATGACTGAAGGAGGCTGTGACCCTACGGGAAGCCCACACTGGAGCAGGCTTCTGGTAGGACCTGTGGCCCTGTGGAGAGAGGGGTCTGCACTGGAGCAGGTTTGGTGCAGGACTGGTGACCCCGTGGGGGACCCACGCAAGAACAGACTGTTCCTGAAGGACTGCACCCTGTGGGAGGGATCCACATTGGAAAACTTCATGAAGAACTGCAGCCTGTGGGAAGGACTCACATTGGTGAAGTTCATGAAGGACTGTTTCCCATCACAGGACCCCGTGCTGGAGCAGGGGAAGAGTGCAAGGAGTCGTCCCTGAGGAGGAAGGAGTGGCAGAGACAATGTGTGATGAACTGACCACAACCCCCATTCCCTGTCCCCCTGCACCGCTGGTGAGCAGGACACAGAGAATTAGGAAGTAAAGTTGACCCTGAGAAGAAGGGAGGGTTGGGGGGAAGTTTTCTAAGATTTGTGTTTATTTCTTATTATCCTACTCTGATTTGATTGGTAATAAATGAAACTAATTTCCTCAAGTCAAGCCTATTTTGCCCAAGACGGTGACTGGTGAGTGATCTCTCCGCCATCCTTATCTTGACCCATGAACTTTTCATTATATTTTGTCTCCCCTGTCCAGCTGAGGAGGGGCATGATAGAGCCAAGGGGCACTTGGCATCCAGCCAGGATCAACCCACCACGATGAGATTAAACCTAGGATGGAGTTTGCCAGACCAAATATACACCCTGAGCTACCTGTATGATCTCCCTCTGCAGTCATTCTTCAGTGTAATTAAGGCAAATATTTAGAAAAGGTCAATGTGAAGAGATTTTTAAAAATGCATTTATAATGACTATATAAATAGAATTTTCTTGTATTATTATTATTAACTATCAGTGTATCAGCTGCCTAGTTTTTTGACAGAAAGGAAGTAATAGACCTGGAAAAAATATTTAAACTGAGAGGTATCTGTGGCATCTGGCTGTCTTTGGTCAGGGAAGCCATGTGTATACAAACCTAATAGTGATGAACAGACAAGGAACATTCTGATTTATCATGTAGAGAACTCGATAAGAAATTGAAATGTACGAGAATGTATGAGAATGTACGAGAAGATTTCAAAGGGAAAGAAGGCAAGTTTGAAAGTCCCAGGGGAAAGATTAAAAGTTGGGTGAAAAGGGAACAAAAAGGTTAAGGGACATGGTAAGCTTTAAAGCATACTCTTACATTTTCTTTGAAGATGATAATTCAGTGAATTTTGCTAACCTTTGTTGTCCTGCCTCTCATCTGTGTTCATGGAAAGGACTACTAGTAGAGACAGAACTGTCACCATTATGTCCTAAATCTTAAATGGTCATTGTCCAATGCACTTTGTCAACAAAAAACTCTACCTAGGTTTTGACCAATGCAGTAGAAATACCACCTTGTGTCCATGAAGGATCAAATGCATACTGTTAGGACAGTAAATACAGTGCTGTGAAACTGAGCAGTCTTTTTAGTATTTATTTGTATCCCAAATGCCAAGTTATAAGATTTGGGAACACTTCCTAACCCTAGTCCAGGATCAGTCTGACACCTTTAATGTGTCATAAGCTATATCTGCATGAGCACTTAAAGATACAGAGTATTTGTATAGAATCATAGAATGGTTATGGTTGGAAAAGACTTTAAGATCATCTACTTCCAACCCCACTGCCAAGTCCATTTATATGTCTGCAAGTAGCACAAATGCAGCTGTCTGCATGTGAGATGAACTATCCTTATTTACAATAATATATATCTTCGCTTTTCAGATTTTTTTTTCCATTACACAAAAATTATTCATAGAGGCTTTATTAGATTCATGTGGCAAGACTGTGGTAGCCAGAGGGCTGCTGGAGTCATGTCTGTGAGAAGGCACCAGAAGTTGCCCCCATGCCCAATGGAGTTGGTTTCAGTCAGCTCCAAGACAGACCTGTCGCTGGTCAAAGCTAAGCCCATCAGTGGTGTTGGTAGTGCCTCTGTGATGAGATATCAATTTCTTATCTGAAGGGGGCCCACAAGGATGCTGGGGAGGGACTCTTCATTAGGGACTGTAGTGGTAGGACAAGGGGTAATGGCTTCAAACTTAAACAGGGGAAGTTTAGATTAGATATAAGGAAGAAGTTCTTCACAGTGAGGGTGGTGAGGCACTGGAATAGGTTGCCCAAGGAAGTTGTGAATGCTTCAACCCTGGAGGTGTTCAAGGCCAGGTTGGACAGAGCCTTGGGCAACATAGTTTAGTGTGTGGTGTCCCTGCTCATGGCAGGGGGATTGGAACTAGATGATCTTAAGGTCCTTTCCAACCCTAACTATTCTATGTTTCTATGATTCTATGATTCTATGATTCTATATTTAAGAAAGGGTAAGAAATGCTGCACTGACAGCAGCTGAGAGACACAAGTGAAAAAATGCTAGAGAACCCTGCAGACACCAAAGTCAGTGCAGAAGGAGGGGAGGAGATGCTCCAGGCACCAGAGCAGAGATTCACCTGCAGTCTGCGTTGAAGACCATAGTGAAACATATTGTCCACCTGCAGCCCATTGTATAGCAGCTATCCACAATGCATCCTGTAGAGGACCCCATGCCAGACCATGTGGATATGATCTGAAGTCAGCAGCAGCCTATGAAGAGCCCACACTGGAACAGAGTCCTGGCAGGAACTGTGGACTGTGGAGAGGAGCCCAAGAAGAATCAGGGTTTCTGGCAGGAACTGTGGCGTGTGGGGGACCCACAATGGAGCAGTCTGTTCCTGAAGGACTGTACTCTGCAGAAAGGACTTGTGCTGAAGTAGTTCTTCAAGAACTTCAGTCTGTGGGAAGGACTCACATTGGCAAAGTTCATGAAGGACTGTCTCCTGTGGAGACACACCATGCTAGAGCAGAAGAGCGTAAGGACGTGAGCAGCAGAGATTAAGCATTATAGACTGACCATGGCACTTCCCCATCCCCTGTGCCACTCAGGAGTTAGGAGTGATGTTGGACCTAGGAAGAAGGATGTATTTTTAGTTTTGTTCTGTTTTCTCACTATCTTACTCTGTTACAATTAATTGGCAATATATTAAATTAATTTCCCCAAGTTGAGTCTGTTTTGCCTATGACTAATTCATAAATAATATCCTGTCGTTATGTCAACCCAAGAGCTTTTCAATGCATTTTGTACCCCTGTCTAGTTGTAGAGGGGGAGTAATAGAATATCTTGGTGGGCACCTGGTTGCCAGCCAAGGTCAACCCACCTCAGATGCTTTAAAGTATTATCATGAAAAGTAATACTGAAATATTTATTTTTATTCTGGGTGATCCAGAATAGCTGGCTGTCACTTTAGGATGGTTATCTGAATTGCTGTCAGAAATAGGATTTAAATCCCAGAACAAGCAGGGAGACTTTTTTTTTTTTTCTTCCTAGGAGAAGAATTCAAACATGGTGAATAAGGTTATTCTTAAATAAAAAATGAAAGAAATCATAGCCCAGTTTTCTTTACTCCATAAAAAGTAGCACTGTGTGCAGTTTCTTGCAAAGCAAAACATTTTGTCTGTTGTTTATGAGTATTTCAGTGAGTCACTTTTATTTCTCTTAAAAGATGCTGAAAGGTAAAGGCCCAGTCCTACATTTCTAAAATGCTTTAAATTATGGGCTGGGTCAATCTATTTGTTGATAATGCTTGAGAATACTGTTCTGAGGCATGCTATTAGCACTAGCAAGAGCAACTTAAGAGGCTTTTTACTTTCTAGCTTTCTCCTTCGTGCTGAAGTATATATCCCCTTCGGCTGAATCAGCGCAGCGCTCTCTGTGGCACCTTCTGTGAAGGAACTTGTCACCTTACAGAGTGTTATTCAGTATGTGACATACTCCATGGGAAAAAGCAAGATCTGGGGAAAAAATGGTCAGAAATCTTTTAAATGAGATTGGCCACCAGAGAAACTGTAACATGGAACTCCACCCTGGGATCTTCTGCTCGCTCTCAGATACTATCCACCATGAGGACAACTGGCGCTCAGCTTTATCAATGAGTAGAGAGTGGTGTCAAAGCAAATGGAAAGGAATCTTCAGTGCAGTTTTTTATTAACTGACCCCAGAGAACACACATTCCAAAGCTGCTGTCAAATTTGTGACAAATTCAGCTGCATTTTTACTTATATCTGAATGTGACTAACTTTTTTATGAATCCCTTCTACATAGATAACTAGATAGCATAGGAAAATAACTGTGTATGCTACAAAAGAAAAACATATACATTGTTGCATACACATGCTTGTTTTAGAATTAGTCAATTTTATCTGCTTCATTACACTGTTTTAGTTATCAGATAATTGTTTAGCTGTCTGAATGCAGTATCTCTTGTTATTAACACAATTTAAATTGGAATTCACCTTGTTCAAGCCCGTAGTCTCTTACAAAGAATGATCTTCATGTCTGTAGACTAATTGCACTAAGAAAGTTCACTACAAAGACATAATTAATAGTCCATAATGTTTGGGAAGGTGACATTTCCTACTTTCTTTGAACTCTCAGTTTGGTATTTGAAAACCAGTATAAGATACTGAATCCAAGATATTTAATCTGGAGTGGTGTCTAGTTGGTAGTTAACTGAAACTGCTTCCTTTCCCCTAGCAGCAATAAACTAGAAAAGACTAATTACCCCCTTTTATAGGTGCAATTTGAACCTAAAACTCTAGAGAGAGCATCAGTAGTAAGCCACTGTTACAGTCGATTTCACCATCTGCACCTGAAAACTGGGACTATGGAACTAGCGAAAGAACACCCATAGCATTTAGTACCGAAATCCCTTAAGTGAATTTTGGCTTTGTTGTAGGTAAAATTTTCAGAACACAGTGATAGCAGTTCTTTCCCCGATTCCTTTCAAAACCACTTTCTTCAAATAAATACATATTCCATTTAATCCATCATTAGTACTTAGTTGAAACTCACTCATCTAAGGATGATGATATATTGATATTTTTGTGAGTTTAATGAACCCTGCTGCATTAATGTATTTTTTGCTTCAGCCTATCTGAAGAAAGAAGCCTTAGGAGATTCCTGTAGCAATAATGGCAACCATTACTTTTCTAAATCTAGCAGAACGTACTACTATAATTTTGTTTTCTTTTGGTCATTTTTTTTTTCCCAATGAATGGTCAGGATTTATTAACTTCAATATAATTCCTTAGACTCAAATTTTTTTTCATTTCTTTTATTTTACTGTTAAGTTGTGAAGTTCTGTATATTTCTGTGTCTTTGTTGTTGTTTACATTAATGAGAAACTATTAAATTTGTTTGTGGTTTCTTAGGCATGCTTTTTGTTAGGCTGGAGTTGTCAGAAAAGGAACAGGTTTTGTGAATGCCAGGTAAAGAGTTGCTCACTGTCACCACATTACCACTCCTCTCCCTCTGCTGCAGGTTTTGGAATCTTGAATGGGGCAAACTCTGCATTCATTACTTTCAAAATTTCTAGCTCTCACTCACAGATTTTGTTGTGCTTTTGAACTGCTGCTGTTACTTAACCACCTCATAAGCATTTCCTCAGTGTACGCTTCTACCGTGCTCCCTATGATTGTGGCACAAGGTCCAAGAAATGCTTCTGACTGTGTGTCTTTCTCAAGTATGCCTGGAAATGAAATGAAGTTTCAAAGGAGTTTTAGCTTCAGTCGACAGAATCCCAGAAATTGAAAGACAGGCCCTTGATTCGTGAGATACAAGCAAAAGATTCAAAGCAATTTTGCCAGAAAAGCAAAAAATAATGTAAATTTATTACTAGTGCAGGTAAACCTTGGCACAGACAAAATGCAGCCTGATTCTGAGCTGTTTCTGCAAAGCATAGCTTGGTTGATTTTGGAGGAGAGAGGACTTATTAGTACTTCATGAAGTTGTATATTTGCACACATAGCTGTTGCTGTCCATAAAGTTGGCCAAGTCATGGATGTCCTTAATTCACATTGAAAATTTTTCTATAACCTGGGTTTTATATATACAAATATATATATATAGAGAGAGGTAGTCTTAGATGGTTTAAAAAGCAACACTTGACAAATGTCAGTTTGACTAGCATTCCTCTAATATATATATGCACAAGGATTCATTTCTTCTTTTTCCAAAGGAGGCTTTGCTGCCTCAAAAGATCTCCTAAACCTGAGTATATATATGGAGCTTGATGTATATTTTGCACGTTTAAATCACTAGACCAGTCAGCTTAAATACATGGTGTCTTACTACTCCATGTAGTAACCATAATGTACAAACACATATGAAACAAAAAAATTCATAAATTTGCAAAGGGCTTGGAAATCTTTAAATAATCTGTTGTTAGAATAATACCTTTAGAATTCTTTCTTTCATTGACTGTAATTGCTTAGTGAAACATAAAATGCACAGAAGTAGAAAACTGTCATTTTGTTTACAAAAATTTTTTATTGATCCATCAATCCATTGTTTATGACTTTGCAGTAATCGGTAAGTTCTGACAATGTCTGATTGGGGATGACTGTCATCCCAATTTATTAAAGGACAAATTGTCTAAGAAAAAGATTGGTTTGTGAATATTAAAACAAGATAATAACAGGAAATCTTGACAAAATTGTACGAATTAATTGAGATTTGGACATGGAGAAAACTTTTTAGTTAATAAGAGAAGCAGAATTCTTTTCAAATTAATTTGAAAGAAATAAAAATGTGAAATCTAGAATCAGTCCCATTTCGTAGCTGGAGAGTCTATGAAAGATGGTCTGAAATCCTTTTTCTAGTGGATCTTTTTAAAAACATCAGCTTCCAGAAACAGAGGGCATAACCTTGTTAAAAACAGAAAGAAAATAAACAACTGAGAAAATGCAACTCCTTAGATCAGTTTTTTTTATCAGATGTTGTCAGAGCTGTTGACAGCTGAAAACGTGGCACTGGACCTTACATATTTAATGTTTTTTACTCTTTTCTGTTGCATCTCCAGACATTCCAGTTTATTCCTAACATCTGCCATGGGACAAAGCTGTGTTTCTGTTGATTTAGATTGCCTCAGAGCACTCTGCTTGCCTTTACTGTTGACTGACACTTCCTGCCATGAGCTGTAGTTCTAAAGTGAGGATATGTTAGGAGATAGGAAAAGAAAAATTGCCAAGTTAGACAAAGAAAGGGCAGATTGACCAGAAACTTCGGTCTGAACTGTGTTTTTCTTCTCACAAACACACACAATCTGTGTATGGAGCGATTTTGTTATGCATAAGTTTCATGACACCAGAGGAGATGTAGAAGCCTGTTTGGTATAATTCTCTACTTTTCTGAATGTTTATCTTGAGGTTTTAGGTATGCAAGAGCAAGAGTGAATTGAAATTGCAGCCATCTCAGCTGGAGATGGGATTTGTTATGTGTGAGAGAACATAAGATTCCCCTTTAGTCAAACATACAGATGCAATAGCATAGCCCCAACTCATGTAATCTTCTCTGTGGTGTCTCTCATTTGGCTTACCACCATTGACCTAGCTCAACAGGAAGGCTTCACCTCTACAAATTCATCTTCAGTGGCCAGAGACAGTGCAAATGCAATGATTCTTTATAACACCTATTCTTGAGAAAAGTCTGGTTTCTTCTGTCAAAGGTCAGGGAGATACAAGGACTAAGATGTTTGTGGTGGAAGAAGGGTGTCCTGGGACTTTCTGTCCTAGGAACTCCCTAAGAACTCATCATGTCCTGAAGGGGAGGTCTCTGATTTGTAGTAAAAAGCAAGCCCATGCTGTAGGCTTTCTTGTGCTGGAAACCAGGACAGACTCGCTGTAGGGCACTGTTGAGCCTGTCAGGCACGTTGGCAGCACCTGAGGGAAGCCTGGGTAAGGAAGGGCAAAATCTTGATTGGCTGTGAGGGGAAAGGGTAAAGCGTGAGAAATAGCCCTGCAAGCATGGAGGGAA